AAATAAAAGGAATCACAGACAGATGCACTCTAAGGCTATGTCTACACTGCAGGCTTGTTGCACAAGAAGATCTTCTGCAAAAAGTTTTTCTGCAAGACAGTGTCCACACTGCAAAAGCGCATCAGAAAAGTGATGCACAAGAGAGCATCCAGACTGCATGGATACTCTGTTGAAAGAAAGCGCTGATTGCTATCCACTGAATGGCCACCAGGGCACCTGTACCTCTTGCGCAAAAAGGAGTTATTCCTTGTGAAGGGGGAATACCTATACCTCAAAAAGCCCCCTGTTCCATTGATTCAATGTAAATTTACTTGTGGAAAAACATACTTGAGGTGTGGACACTCTGCGGGCTTTTGCACAAAAAAGGCCCTTTTTGTGCAAAAACCCTGTAGTGTAGACATAGCCTATGAGAGAGATAGATAGATAGATTAGATAATTTTTAAATGTTATCACACCCATGTAAAGTGTGTGTCCTGTCTCTCCCCCAATAGCTTAGTGCACATAAAGGAAAATAGACTACTACTGTTGTCAGCTAATGGAGTTACTCCCTTAGAGTTAAAGGTCGATGTCCACAGAAAAGCATAGGCAGTTCAAGAATACATGACTGACAGAGACTTACAGACTGCTGTAAGATGTGAACGTGCAATATCAGTAATAGTGGGGGAATTCTTGAGAATAGGCCAAAAACTGCACAGTTTATCTCTCTGGCTTGAATGAGAGTCTGTGATATCCCAAAAGAACTAATTAAGACAGAAGCAAGTATGAACTCTGTTAACTAATGATATTTTGGGCATCATCCTTCTGCATAATGATAGAAAGGGAGGAAAAAAGATAAAAGCAACTACGAGATGTAATGGAAAATGTCAATTTTTTTCTGAAAAAAATCTCTCCAGTCCTGACAAATGGCAATCCCAGAGACAGATTGGAAAACAAACTAGTTTTGCAGTGCTGCTTCAGCAAGAATGTCATTCTATAAAATTAGCATGGGGGATTGTGATGTTTCTTTGCATAACTTTTTGTAACGCTTGTAGAATTATTTCCTGTCCTGTGATAGGAAGTCCTCTTTAAGTTCTTCATCACTTGCATGTCAAAATTGTCTTATCTGAGACATCAGTTCTGCACCTACTGATATAAATGCAAAAGCAACCATGAACTTAGTGGTGCAGAATCAGGTCTTGTGCACACATTTGATCCCAGATCCTGCAAAGACTTGCACACATCCTTAGTTTTATGCACTGTGAGTTGTCTCACGCATGTGAGTGGGACTACTTGCTATGCATAAAGCTAAGTTCATGCATGAGTCTTTGCAAAATTGGGCCCGTGATCCTGAATACAGAAGAAAGATGGAGTTTTGAGAATGTATTCTGGCTCACATAATGACTTTGAATAGTGAATAAACTAAACAATTTCTGAGAGGTAGCCATGTTAGTCTGTTTCAGCAAAAACAACAAGGAGTTCAGTGGCACTTTAAAAACTAACAAATTTAACAGGATATTAAAGTACAAGCATTTCTGAGCTACAACTCACTTCCTCAGATGCTGAAGAGAAAAAGACAGAAAGAAAAAAAGGATACAGAGATGAGAGTGTGGCAATAGTGCTAATTAAATCAGAGTGGATGTAGCTCATCTCCAACAGTGATGAGAAGACTAGAGTACCTGAATGGGAAATTACCTATTGTAATGAAAGAACCACTCCATGTGTGTGTTTATACCTTGGTTCAAGATGTCAAAAATGCAGTGAGAAACTGCTGAGCTGGAATTCATATGCAAATTTAACACTCCGAACCAAGGTATAAATAAATACAAGGAGTGGTTCTCATGTTACAAAAGGTGATTTCCCATTCGGGTACTTTAGGCTTCTCTTCACTGCTGGCTATTAGCCACATCCACTCTGATTTAATTAGCACGGATGTCACAATACCATCTCTGTATCCATTTTTTTCTTTCAGTCTTTCTTTCTGGCTACGTCTAGGCTATGCGTTTTGCTGGAAGAGGCACTGCAAATGAAGCACTGATTAGCATTTTCTCACACTTCATTTGCATAATCCCTCCCGATCCATTTTTGTGCAAGGTTTTTGCACAAAAACATGCAGTGTGGATATTTCCTTTTTGCGCAAGAACCCCTTTTTGTACAAGACCCTTAGGCATCTCTGTCTCTTTCAGTTGCTGAAGAGAAAAAGTGAATTGTAGCTCACAAAAGCTTATTATGCTCTAAAACACTAATACATTTATTAGTCTTTAAAATACTACCGGACTCGTTTTATTGGTTTTTTTTAACAATTTCTGTGTCTTGATTCATCAGTCAAAGAATCTGAAACAAACTACATCTTTTTCTAGATTACATGAAAAATCCCATGAATTTGCTTGTTCAGTAAATAATTCAGCAGAACTGTGAACAAAAGAAATAAATATAATGCATTGTGGCAGTTATTGGCCAATTATTTATTGAGATTTTGGTATATGCATAATCCTTTTTGTTGAGTTTAATGAAATTGAAGGAGCTACTAGGTTTCATGATCACTGATATTACTAAACTAAATGCTAGCCATCCACATTTAGGATATCACTTAAGCACTTACATATGGTCCTGAATCAGGGTCAGAGTTTGCATCATTTGTTAAATTAAAATACACTTCTGTGCATATTGCTGAAAATTAAAACTTGTGAACATTTTATGTCTCTCTTGGCAGCTCTGTCTCACTCTAAAGTTACTCTTCAGCATTCATGCTAGATTGCACTAGATCACTGGACTAAATTGAATTTTATGGGTCCATCTAGAGTACATGAAATGGTTGAAAGAGGATATGGAAATTCCGTGGGAATTTGCATATCTTCTTCTGATCGCCCTTTCGAAAGCAGAGCTTTCAAAAGTTAAAGTAGTTTAGAGGCGGCTTTTTCGGTGAACCCTCCCCCTTGTCGAAAAGCCGCGTAAACTTCAAAAAATGATGTTCTTTTGTTCTTACACTTCTTCTCTGAGCTTCTTCCTTCCTGTAATTATTATAATAATAAAGGTTTCTGCTCTGAATACTGTGTAACTACAAAGAGGGTTTGGGGAAGGAAGCCCCACCAGAAACCTTATCTCAGTTTCTCCAACTCCGCCTGTCTTCCAGGGGTTCAAGGTGTCAATTAATCCCACTACTACAAGAAGCTTAAAGTGCAGGGTTTAGTGCTGCTGCCATTAACAAAGCTGTAATACCACCAGTGTTCTCTCTATAGAAAGGCAGCAGTTATATTGACCTAAAACTCCTGGAAAAGCAATTTGTACAGTTACTTGTACAATTCTAATTTATCATACATTTTGACATGATCGAATTGAGGCTAAAAGGTAGTCTCCAAAAATGGCTGATTTGTCATGTGCACTGATATAAGGTAAAAACTTGTGGCAACGGCAGCTGTTGTTTGTTGTTCATTTTCTGCAAACAGTGGCTTAACATTAATGTTAATGCTACCTATCTTTATTGAAAAGGGTGTGTGGTGATTTGTTCCGACCCACCCCCATCCCAGGTTTGGCCATTGTTTTTTACAATTCTGAACTTGAACCATGTGTTTTTAAATGTTATTCTTGATACTTAAAACATTTGAAAAGCAAAACTCTGTGGAATGTTTATAGTACATTTAAAAGGAAGACAATTATAAGACATAGCAATAATCTTTTTCAGCAACGTGGCTGCATGCCAACGTATGCTGGCGTATAGGTATCATATCAATGAGCACTGTACAAAATCCTAAATATTGACACAGGTAGATAAAATAGATGGATGTCACCAATACATTAAACCATTACTTACCTGGACACCGTGGAGTTTTATGTGCTACAGCTGTACCGCTGATTGGACGTCCATTGGGAGTGACGCACCAACAGTATCCTGTGTAACTATGACACTGAACCTGTCAGGAAATTACATCAAGTGAGGGAAATCTATGAGACATATGTTGACTATATTGAAATGTTCATGGCACATAGAGTACATATTTATGTGTGTCTCTTGAGTACAATGGAGTCCTCCCGCAGAATATATTTTTAAAGACAGCAAATGTATTTTCTTGTATAATAAAACAATCCACTAAAAGACTATAATTCAAATCTGATGAATATCCTTCAAGCATAAAGGGAGAGCTTCCCTTAAGTACTCTGCAGTGAGTACTTCAGTGGAGAACTGAGGAGAAAGCTATTAATATGTGTTTGCTTGTTTGATGTCCTGTACTGAAAGAGTACAAAAGCTCACAGAAGCTCCTTAGGGGACACATGGATTGACTGTCTCCATTCCTAAAGTAAGTCCTCTTTAGCTTTTTTCCAGATAGACAACATATCTTCTCATGCAGAGTAGCAACAGGATTCAGCACTTTTGTCAGCATTATTCATCCCCCTCAGAGAGTGAACTACGGACTGCCTCATTTAAATTAATGACTTTATAAATCCCAACACCTTAACCTAACCGCTAATGTCATTTTCTCTAATGTACTGAAATTTGTATGGCAAATGTGAACTATTAGCTGCATTTAAAAATGATTACGGTAACTTTCTACATTTTCAACTTAGTATAATGGTACCAAAAGTCAGTCCTGTTTAGTATATGTCTGGTTGTGATAAAAGCTTCAAATGGCACCCTTTTTGGATTCTAAGACCTTGCCTGAGTAACTCAGTCTCAGTCTATGATGCCTGCACAGAGATTCAGAAGGGATGGAGGAAGATTTCTGTATGACTCATAGTTTTGGCAATAGGATATGGACTCCTTTACCACAAGATTACTGCTTTGGAGCAGGACAGAAATCATGCACATTTTACCAGCTTATGACTTGACAAAGAGTGATGAGAAATTACTTGCCAAGGACTAAATTGGTACAAAAATGAACTATCCTATTTCTAAAATTCAGTGTTAATGTAACTCCCCCACAGACACACAAGCATGCTGAACAACCAAGCATACAAATACTGAGCCAAAACTTTTCAACCTGGCTATATGTGCCATCGTCATTGCACTCAGGAATGAAAACTTGTTGAAGTTCCTTGCGGGCTTGTTCTTGGGTGTATTTCCTCTCTGCCACACACCTGGAAACATCTAAGGAAAGGGAGAAAGCAAATAAGATTAACGATGCAACATTAAAGAGAGTATAGATGATAGTCCAAAAGCATAAATAAGGGAGAGGACTGGGAGACCCAAGTAAAGATATGGATCCTTTCATTCTCAATGATGTATTGTTACCTGAGTGTTTAGAAATTAAAAAATGGGGAAAAAGTTATATCATGGCTGCTTCTCTAGTCAAGATCCTGCATAGTGCTTCTATCTAACCAGAGTATCCAATGTCTATCAAGGGTAGTGTGTCTACTACCAATACTACTACCCAGTTTTCCCTTCAAATCCTTTTCTATTTAGACTGCAAACTCGTCAGAGCAGGAATTCTCTCATACTATGTGTTTGCACATTGCTACATTGCGTATCATGCCTGGGCTTTGACCTTAATGGTGTCTGTAGGTGCTTCTGTAAAACAAGTACTAATCTACTGTGCGATTCGTGGACCAATGATTGCACTTTCAAAGAGTGAGTTTAATACATCTTTTCTAGTTCTATTTTGTATGGTGCTAAAAATATGACTATATCTAATAAATCAGCTTTGGCTTATGGGATCAGAGAAAAATGAATCCTGTTTTAATTGCCGCAGCATACAATTGTTCTCCTGGAGCAAATTGGGATACTCTAGCCATGCCACTCCCAGGGAAATGGTGTTAGAGCCACTATACAGACTCTAGGAAACTGCAAGGTTTCTGAATACAGGACAGATTCTTCATGGGCCCCCATCCAACAGGTTCAGGGAAGCTTTGTGCTGTGACAGTAGCAAAAAATTTCAGTAAAAGGACAAGAGCATCCGGCCTGGAAAGTATTAAATAAGTGCAAAGTAATAGTAATTATCATCTGAGCGCTGGACTAGAAATTTGGAGTCCCTTATTCCTAATCTTTGTTTTCATCCTGACTTCTTCTTTAGATTTGGAGAAGTCACTGAACTTCTGTGAATTACTCTCTGTAAAGCTGAGATAATAATTACCTCACAGGAGAGTAGGGAGCAGTAATTAGTTCAAGTAAAAGTGACTTGTAAAAGTGATTAGAAATGCAAATCATTATGACTTTGTAAAAAATAAAGTATTAAGATTAAATATTGAACCGTTATGATGTCTCAAAAGGGCCATCTGTGGGGACCCAATATGTCACCTAGAAGACGGACAGAAACATTCCATCATTCAAAGATACATAGGAAAAATTAAATGAGGCAATTGTTTTGTACATACATACTTTAATAAATTGTTAGATTTTCACCAAGAGAACTTGCATCTCCGTGCTGGCTGATGTACTGTGTAACTTTGGTAATGTATGAGCTAACAAGCTCTACCTAAGTTAAAAACCAAATATATTTAATCCACCTTCAGTGCCTTAACTCTTATTATGAACTTGGTTTGGTTATACAGTACTTACTTACATGTGGTTTTAATGTATCCAGTGTTTTAAAATGAAAATAAATCACTCCTTTGGTAGAATTCTGCCCTCTTTTTTTTTAGCACAACATGTGGTTTAAATGTCTAAAAGGAAAAGTGATACAAATTCCAGCACATAAGGGCTCTACTACAATGCTGATAGAGTTATAAATTATCTCTAATATTTGAATTATCATAAAGACATGCCAGAAAGAGAGAAATTCTCCATACAGTTTGTCTGTCACCATCTCTGAACAACTCTTCCTTCAAAAGCAGGAATTTCAGTCAATTTCAAACTCCTAGACTTCACAGTGATCAACTTTAATAGAACATAATGCTTAAGTTTGTAGTCTACTGTTTCTTGGATTATTTAGCTATAGGAAACACTTGAAGGTTAGTAGCATTAGCGTGCCTCTTTAAACCCCAGAGAAAACCTGGTAGAAAGTTCTCTTATCGAGTTAAGCAGCTGAAACAGTGAACAGTCAAAATATTATTCCAGATACAGCCTCGTAAATTATTCTGCTGTACTGATTTATCAAGATTTACTACAGCACATGGAAGAGCTGCGATTCAGTTAAAGCTCTGGATCTGATACAAACTGATAAAAGTGAGGAAATAAAACAGACAGGCAAGATAAAAATAATATCAAAATATCATATCTGTATTGTTAATGGCACATTAGATTATCAAAAGAGATTGGCTGAATTCATCCCAAGTGCAACTTCATTAAAGACATATTATTACTAAATGTTTAAAGTGTTATTACAATGGAGCCTAAAGGTCTCAGCCAAAAATCAAATCCCCTGGTGCAATGTGCTATATACATGCTTAGGAAGAGAGACGGGCAAAGAAGGGCAATACTTGAGACAAAGAGTGGGAGCAAAGATATATTTTTATCTCCGTTTTACAGAAGGGGGATTAAAGCACAGTGAAGTCTAATGATTTGCCAAAGGTCACACTAGAGGTTTGTGGGAGAGCTGAAGTCTCCTGCCCCAACCCAGTCCAGAATCTTTAACCCAAAATCATCTTCTCCTGAGCTACAACAGAGTGATTTTGGGCAACAGCAGACAGAGCTGGAGAGATTCCGGGCAGTGCTGTCATGGGCCTAGGTCCATAGGACAGTTCAGGGAAGCTGCCATAACTTAGACTCCAATGCTGTCCAGCTTACTCCAGTGACCACTCTAGTCATTGGAGCCACCCACAGTGGGAAATTACAAATGGCTTCCAGCCTCATTAGCCTCTATTTCCCCAGACTTTAAGTATTGTACTGAGCCTCTTGTATATGTCTATACTGCATGCTAGGCCCAGGCTGTGACTCAAGTTTGAGCGCAAGTCCCCCTTTCATCCGTACACAGATCAGTCTGACAGCGGTTGGTGAGCACTCAGGACCTGGGTACAAGGACTCTAAGAGGGGAATGGATCACAGCCCAATTCCCACGGAGAATTTATCCAGGTGGATGCAGCTCAAGCTGCAGACCAGAGTCAGAAGGTCTGTTTAGTACAATATGGATACAGTAACACAGCTATAAAGCCTCAGTGTGGCAATACAGTAGTTAACTCAGTTTTACAGTGCTGGATGCACTTGAATGCAGGCTTGGAAACATCAAGTATACAAAAGCCTCGGTCCCAAAGACCCCGGTTTTCAAAGCAGTGTACACATACTCTCTAAAGGCCCAGCATAGAATCTTACCCAGGGTATGTCTAGACTACAGGCTTCTTTAGGAAGAAGCTTTTCCAGAAGAGATCTTCCGAAAAAACTTCTTTCAAAAGAGAGTGTCCACACAGCCAAAGCGCATTGGAAAAGATAGCGTCCACACTGAATGGACACTCTCTCGCATTTAAACTGTGGTTATTATGGGCGGAATGGCCATCGGAGCACCTGTGCTTTTTCCTCTTTCCTCTTCTTTTGAAAGAGCTCCCTCTTCCCCGTCCATACACAACTTTTTCTGAAAGAGCTCTTTCAGAAACAGGCTTTTTCCTCACAGAAAGAGGATTACCAACATCGGAAAAACCCCTCTGTTCTTTCAATTTTTTTCAAAAGAATGCAATTGCAGTGTGGACGTAAGTGAAGTCTTTTCAGGAAAACAGCCGTTTTTCTGAAAAAACTCTGTAGTGTAGACACAGGCCCAGTGGGTTCAATGGAGTTACTCCTGTGAGTAAAGGGAAGCATGTACATATTTACAAGACCTGGGACTAACTTCTCATAAACTTTGAAAATCAGAAACACGGGGGCCTTATTTTGCATTCTTTGGACAACCCATATACCTATGAAATCAATGAGATTTTGGAATGTCAAATTCTCTCAGGATCAACCTGTTTGTTAATAGAAGAATTACCTAGACTGACACAGACTGTTACCCCATCTAATTCACTGTCCTGCCTCCTACAATACAGTGTTTGATGCCTGCAGTTTAAGAGGAAGAAAAAAAACTATCGCCTTTAATATAACTGGCTAATTCTGCTATAATCTACTGTGCGGAGAAAAAAAATCTGCCAAAAAAATGAGGTTTATAATGGAAACAATGACACAGTCTTAACAGGGATGCAACCACTGTTTCTCTGGCTACATCCAGTATGAATTAAGTATACAGCAAGTTTTGGGCTCCACAGGAAGATCTAATCCAGATTCGCTTAGTGGAAATTAAATTGATTGACAAAATAAATAAATAATACATCTTCTGCAAAGGGGTTTTGATTTAGTCCATCCCATATTTTTTCTTCATTGTTGGATAGTAATACGTGTGTTCAGTAAGATATAAAAAAATAATTTTCTCAGTCCACTGAGTAGCCTTCACTTACCAGGGCAGTTGAGTGTGTTTCAAATAGGTAATATATTTATCCATAAAATATTATAATGGTTTATTTAGTTATTTTATTGTAGATTGAAAATCCCACTGAAGAGACAGTAACATTCATCACTTTAAGATCACTTAGAAAATAGCTGAACTTAATCATTTGAAGAAAAAAAACCCTTAGGGTTTTACATAGGTGCCTAACTGTTCTTGTATTGACCAAAAAGCTTTACTACAGTCATGGAGAATTGAGCAAGCACGTCTAGCACAGAAACACAAAATCTAGATAACTCTTAACTCTTATTGAAGATTCCTATTTCTGGCCCCTGCTATCCTGCAGACAGAGGGACAGACAGCCACCACAGGCCTGAGGGCAAGGTGTGGGGGGAGCAGCCTCTTTGCCCCAGAAGGGGTGGGGCTGAGGGCACTGCAGTGCAGCACTGCTCCCCACCCAGCTCTCAAAGCTATGGAGAGTGCCCGGCATAGCATTTCAACACTCCCGTAGCAATTTAAAGGGCCCGGGAGCGCCGACTCCTGCTGCTGCCTCAGTAGTAGTGGCAGTAGTGGCCAAGAGCTCTGGAACCTTTTGAATTGCTGGGCCCTGAAGCAACTACCCCAATTGTCCCCCATAGTCAGTGGATTTGCCCGCAGAGCGCCCAGATAAACTGACTTTTCCCTTAATAGTACCATGTTTGTCATCTGGAACTGTTCAGTACATTGCTATGTAAACATCAGCAGCAATTGAGGCTTTGCTTGAGCAAGGTACATAAGCCTCACTTTAACCATGTGAATAGGCCCAGTG